TAACAGGTTCATTCATTAACACATTAATATATGCTTAGTTTACCTCAAACATTTTACATTGCCGAATAAATGTTCATTGTTAGGTCGTGTTACAAATACATTTGTGTATGTGTACTGTAAGTAAACATTAAATAATTGGGCAGGTAATGTAAGGAGAACAATTTGGATATTTATAAGTTAACATTAATAAAGTTTATTTAATGCTGTTAACTAAAGATATAGGTTTAGTTAACATTACCAAATTTTAGGTAATGCTTGACAGATGTGGTGTTCACTGTTAATTTGTGTTATCTAATGCAATAACCAACATTTAATTATACACCTTATAACCTTATTGTAAAGTGTATTTCACTAATTTTGTTTTTTACAATAAAGATTTTTAATTAAAAGATTACAGTAAAATTGGAAGGCAAACATCAACATAGTTCCAAAAAAAATCACACCTTAAAGAATTTGAATGATGCTTAAATTCAAGTTCAGCCAAAAATGAAAATGATTTCATTAATTACTCACTGTCACGAGACTAGACCCCTGAGACCTCCGTCCATCTTCAAATCACAAATTAAGATATTTTTGATTAAATATGAGAGTCTTATCCTTAATAGACACCAATGCCCTCGGCTTGTTCAATGTAAAGAAAACTACCAAAACAGTCCATGTGACTTTGGTGGTTTAATCGGAGTATTATCAAGCTATGAAACAAAGCATTGTTAAACATCAGCAGGTGACCGAGTGCGATGCACACAAAAAGCACAGCACTGTTATCAGTGAATCTGTCATTCTTGTTTTATGTGCACACAAGTATTCTCAAAATATTAAGATTGAACCACTGAAGGCATACAGTCTGTTGTGACTAAGCTGTTATAATTGCTGTCCATGGGGAATGAAGGAGTTCTTGGATTTAATCTAAAATATCTTTAAGTTATAGTTCATTTCAAGTTTAATCAATTCTTTGTTCATTTACTCACACTTTACCTGTCTCTAACCTTTGAGTGTCTTTCTTCTGGTAACCATGAAAGTTTCTGCCTTGAAGAAGTCTGGAAACTTGTAACTATTGACTTCTACAGTATTTGTTTCTTCTACGATGGAAGTCAATAGTTACAGATTTTCAGCTTTTTTCTAAATATTTTATTCTGTGTTCAACAGAAGAAATAAACTCAAAGGTTTGGAACGACGTGATGGTACAGAGTAGGTTTTTTAAGTGAACTAAAAATGTCAGTTGTATTTTGAAGAATAACAACTGTCTCTGGGTTTGGAACCACATGATGGCAAAGAGCTTAGAATGACCAAGAGGCGACACTTAATAGAACGTTCCATTGCAACAGCTGTGCCCAGCAACAGCCCCGGATTCCGCCATTTTGGAGTGAAAGTGATCGGCCGTCCATTGGATCTCATTACTGTCGCGATGGCAAGCAGCTGCTTTGTTTTTTATTTATTTATTCAAAAAGCGCATTAAAGTTGAGATACAACCTGAAACGTATTATCACGAACATCAGCACTTTTAATAGTTTATTTTACAGACTTATAATATGCATGCTGTTCTATTGGAGTTTTCATTCCAAAATGGCCGCCGCGCCCTCTAGTGTCTGTTTCCCAAATTACACCAGAGCGTCGCCTCTTGGTCATTCTAAGCTCTTTGATGATGGTAAGTAATTAATAACAGAATTTTTATTTTTGGGTGAACTATCCCTTTAGGATGAAAGTTGTTATTAAGTATTCAAATTTATGATATTAATAGTATTTGTTGAGGTTAGGACTGCAACAACGAATTGATTATATCAATTAAAATTGATTACTTATAGCATTGGCAACAAATTTCATAATCAATTCTTCATGTCACGTGACGTGGAGACATTTGATCATTTAAAAAAAAACTGCCTCTCTCGCCTCATAGACAGAACGGAGCAAAAAAAAAAAACGAGTGGAGGTAACATTAGAGGAAAGATACATGGCGAAGGCAGAGAAATCTGTGTGACCCTAGTCATTCAAGGTGTAAGAGCATTTCACACTAAATAAACAAAAAAAATCTGTTAACAGCCAAGTATGCAAAAGTGATCACAGGAGCACCACGGCAATGATTCAGCACCTGGAATGCAAACATGTTGGAGTCTTTGAAGAGGAGGAAGGGTGCAAAAGCAGGGTAATCACTACAGAATCCTACTTTTGTTCCATTTTGAAGTGAGAAACGTAATGTCCCTGGTGCTGGTGTTTACTTGTTATCCAGCTTGAAAAGCATGACGTGAAAAATTCAAACTGAGCGTTGGCAATTATCACAATTATGCAGTGTTTTTAACCACCCACTGCTTATTTTATGTTTTAGACATGTAAATGCACACACATACTAGTAAAACAATACATTTAGAGTTTGTAAAACACAAGAAAGTCTATGAAAGTCTAACAGTCCTTTCAAATCTTGCCGATGTGTATTATTCATTTCAGAAACACGTAGTAAAGTAACAATAAAGTTCAATCTATTCTTCTCCCAACTGGCCAGCCACATGCTTGCATGCATTTTGGGAGTAACTGAGGAAATTATGTGCTGAATCCTGTTTTGCTTTTGTGAATGAGGCATGTGTGCGGCCACAAATAAACATGCTGATACCCATCTCAAGTTATATAACACAATCAAGATCATTTATACATCTTTTAAACAACAAACAAACACTCACATATCTGTGTTACATCTGTCATACAGCGATTTTGTGGCTGCAGTGGCTGACAAACATGACATGTTGACACAAAAACATTAAAGGTGAATGCTTTAAAATAATGATCGCCTAGCAAAACATACTTCCGGGGCCTCACCAGTGACAGAGTGAATAAAAGAAGTAAAGCAGCGCTGCTATAGTTACTTTGCACTTTGCATTGCAAGACTAAAGAATTTTTAGACACTCGCCTTTTTTGGATCATTAATTTTTAAATCTGTTGTCATAAAGCTACCCTGCAAAAAAAAATAAAATAAAATAAAAATATAAATAAATAAATAAAACCTTTTCTTATTTCTTTCATCTTGTTTCAAGTCCAAATACCTAAAAAATCTTAAATCAAGACTAGGCAAGAACAAATGGATGAGAAAATTAAGTGATGCTTATTACTTCTGTTTGAGATTATATCTCATTAAGATTATTTTTCTTACCCCATCGGCAAATAATTTTGCTTGTTTTAAGCAAACAATCACAAAATTGAGATTTTTTTTTTTCAAAAAACAAGACATAATTTCTTATGCTATTTCATGTGTCTAGTATGCATCTTGATTTAAGATTTTTTTAGATATTTGGATTGAAAACAGGAAAAAATTACTAAGTTAGTTTTTTATTTGATTATTATCATTATTATTTTTATTATTATCATTACAACAGCTCATAGATGTGCAAGGACAACGTTTGTTAGTTCTGTTATTTAATAAAGGGTTATTAATGAATGCTTTTCTTTTTTTTTTTTATCCGATTCATTGATTCATTGAAAAAATATTCGACATAATAATCGATTATTAAACTAATTGTTAGTTGCAGCCCTAGCTGAGGTGTCATTTGACCACAGAACTAAGCACATTCAAGAATCTGGACATCTGTCTTTGCATGGGCTTTTAATAAAAGTCTTACATCATTTCCTCCTGCCGTTGCTGCACTTAAATTCCCTGAGAGCCAGAGACCTTTTCTTTGCTTTATTAATGTATTAGCATTAATATCCTCTCAACATCAGAGTGCCTCCTTTCCAGTTTTCTGATGTGTTTCTAGTGTTTGGCAGGAACAGGTGGTATCACTGAACAGACGCAAGTTTGCCCCTCTAATATGTGCTGTAGGCCGCAGGTGATTACTTTTCAAGAGTAAAACACAGCCGGTATTTATCTATCAAAAGGCTTAATTTGGTTTCAACTGCAGGCCTGGTGGAAAAATGGCCACAGTAACCAGGAGCGCTTGCTGTTGAAACTTTCTGCCTCTTGTTATCTTTTTATTAGCCATCTGTGCACTACCATGATAAAATACTAGAATCACAGGCCGTGTTTTTGCTCACAGCGGGGTTAAAACAGGAGGTATGCTTCATTGATTGAGATATAATTAAACCAAAAGGTGGTGTGGGCGATCAATGAAGCTTTCACTCGCTGACGCCACACAAATCCACAGCAAATCAACACTGCAGTGTTTCTGCAACCATCGTCAGCCTCATTAAACAGATATTTAGTTTGATTTCAGTCAAAAATAGAACAATTCACTTCTAAGCAGCTCTTAAGATGTTCGCACCAAACACAGCGGATGTTTTCCCCCTCTTTTTAAAGTTTTGTACTGCATATTAACATGAGCAGCCAAACACAGAGAAAAATATTTACAAAAAATGAACTTTCCAAACACATTTATTGGGCCGATAACATTAATCAAACACAGTGTATGACCATTGTAAACAATGAAACAGAAAAAAAGGCATCAGCTCTGCTCCAGAAAGTGCGCCAAGCGTAAAATATTCAACTTTTTTTTTTCATTTATTTTCCTTCTGATATTATTATTTTTTTTAAATGTTTATTTTATCTTTACATATTCATTTTCAGCATGAATAATTATATTTACAAGGCCAAGACACTTTCTTTTTTTTCTCCACGGACAACATCACGCCGTAGTCTTCTTTATGATGGTTTTTGTCTTGATAATAAATCTGCAAGGCTGCCTCTGCTCCGGTTCTCCACAGCACGAGCCAGAATAAAGATTGAGAATGCAGTTATGTTCAAGGATGTCTCAGTATTGGTAGGGTGCTTCAATGTCCTGTCCCTTTATCCCAAGATTGGTAGCAAGTTGTCCATATGTACAAAGGCTAAAAACATTCAGTTCAATACGTGAAGAGCCTATGAAATACATGTTATATATATATATTTTGTTTGCTTTCCCAAAAAAAGGTATCAAAACATTTGTGTAGGTATGTCATTGGTTTTGATTGGATGTATGAAATTGGAACTCTTTGCCAACTTTGCAGAGTCTCTTCTTGCAGTGGTGTTTTTGTTTTTTTTTTTCTTTACAACATCATGACTTTTTCTGGCAGGACATGTGTCAGTCTTCATTCTGTTTATCCATGAGCTTTTCCTCTTCATCCTTTTCAATGTTGTTAGTGTTCTTGGGTTGGTCTGCATCCTGGCTCTATTTCAGCAGCCATTCGTTCACTTTAAAAGAAAAATAATAGTATTATTATTATGACATTCTTCAACAACTACATTGAGATCACATACTATATACACATACAACAGCTCTTTCTGGTCTCCAAATCTAATTGGCTGATAGCTGTGTGATATTCTGCCAGTATCAGCACTGTTTCTTCCATGTATATCACTTTGCCCACAGTGAGTGTCAGGCAGAGGACGAAACTCAGTATAGCATCTTTTAGGCAGAGTTTTGTTGTTTAGATTGCAAATATGCAGTTTATTTAAGGATAGTGGCTATTTGAAAATGGCAATAATTTCTAAGATGGGACTTTTAGTAGGCTGGCAGCCGTTAAGCCTCTCATTGGACACTGAAAGCACTCCTGTGACAGCTACTTATTCAGGACTATGACAGATGTCTGTATGTTAGTATATTGTGAAATTTAGCCTTTTTCTAAAGGCAGTATTTGGTCACAGTCATCAGTTATTCCCCCCAGAACAAATAGATTAGATTACAATATTAAGTTTTATAGCATGATATACAGTAGTCAACATTTGAAATATATCAAAAACTTGTCCTAATACTATAATCCCTTTCGAATGATGACTATATATATATATATATATATATATATATATATATATATATATATATATATATATATATATATATATATTTTTTTTTTTTTTTTTTTTTTTTCACTGCTATTCTTGACTGTTTGACTGTTCTTGTGACTGAATAGTAGGTTAGTGTACGCTGCGTTCAGAGGATTTTAAATAGTTTCACATTTCAAATACTTAATAAACGGCTACAGATGAACCTTCAGATGATAGTTTAGTGTCAAATAGCCATTAAATGAACAGGACAATATGCATCTAGAGGGGATAATTCTGCGTGGAAAAAAATCACCTAGATGTACATTATCCCTCACTTAATATTATGTAAAATGAAGTAAAATGCAAGTTATGCACTAGGAAAACATATTGCTCAGCCCTGAGAACAAGCAAACATCACTGCTCAGGACTAGAGGTGCATGTGTATGTATCAGCAAACACACATCACTGCTTCTTTAATGTAAAATTTGAAGAGAATAGTTAAATTCATTTATTTTGTCTTTCATAATGTGTACATCTGTGGTTCAGTACGAAATAAAAAACTAAATTATAATGCCCTACTTTTTTTTTTCTTCCAGTACAGGCTGATGTTCTTGTAAGCCTTGGTTCATTTTCATTGTGCAGTTTCCCAGAATTACAATTTTCGCTCGCACTCTGCATATCACCACCTCAAGCTAAAAATTTAACATTCAATTAGCCTGCAGACACCTCACTATGCCTGCTACAAAAGCACACGTCTCCCTGGTTAAGATACATGACCTCAGATGCGTATCCAACGCTAATTAAATACCTCTCTCCGTTTCTTCTCCTCCAAGATATTTACTGTACATCCTTTAACCACTCAACTGCAATAAAAGGAAGGAATCTTTTTGTATCGCCTACCAGTGTGGCAAATGTAACCTCTCAAACTAGTGCCACACTACTCATTTCACAACAATATAAGGAAATTCATGCAGTAAAAGCAAGCTCAATAAAGTAGACTTTCCTCTGTGCTTACGATGCTTTACTGCTGAAACCATTTGCAACAATATCTCAGGCATTCTGGTTAAAGCACAAACACATTATAAAATGCCCATGGCTGTCTGAGCTTTATTGGAATTCCTAGGACTCTTGGTCAATAAATGATGCATGGTCAAGAGGAGATTACTTGTAAATATTAACAAAATAAAAGCGAGTTTAAGGAATTTAGTGAAAATATTTGCTCAAATGGTGCTGAATAATTCATTACACTTATCTAGTATGAGTGTTTGAGTGATGTAAAACAATAAAACACGCATTACATTAGCTTCTCTAAAACAGAAATACAGTTGCCTGCTTATGTTCATGGATCCTCTTACAAATTTTATGAAGTGTTGCAATAAGATCTTTTAAATAAATAAATGAGCATATAGAAAAAAAAAATAACACCTTTAAAAAAAGTTGTATCTGATGCACTATTTCAAGTCATCTGAAAACTAAACCAAGTTCTCCTAAAGTTTTCAGCAAACCTGTTCATAATGATCAACAGTGTTATTCTGCCTTGGAGTTGGTGTTGTTGAGGGAAGTCAATGATGAAAGCTGTACACACACTTGGCTCTGTCATAGTCTGCTTTAGTCTCTAATTCAAAGCAGGCTGAGAGATCACAGCTTCACTGACCTCGGTACTGCAGCTTCTGTGCCCTGTTGTTGGGGCAGTCCTTGCCCTGCATGCTGAAGTTGATGTTGGTGCGAATGCAGCGGTTGTTCAGAGGCTGCACTGGGCGAACATTGTCGCTCATGCTGAGGAATATCTGCGAGGGCTGATTCTGACTTAGCAGTCGCATGGAGTGCATCTGTAAGGACAAGCAGAGGTTTTATATTGACTCTCTCTTGGCAGGTCAGGCAATTATCGCACAGTCAATCCAATCCTAACAGACCCGCATCAAAGAGTGTCTAGAGAGCTACGTGAGTGTGTCATTCAAGAACAGATTATATTACATATGATCAAAACAGTGTCAAAAGTGACAAGTTCTGCCTTTAAGAAGCCTGGCGTTAGCCCAATCCATAAAAATAGATTTTTAGATCAAGTAAATAACTCTAAAAGGTTGACTCGATTTGATGTTCTGAAATTCTTTCAGTAACTCATCTAATGGATCTTGCTGCAGCTTTTTTGTTTGTTTGTTTGTTTGAATAAGGTACAAAAAAAAATGTGTTGTGTTTTTTAGTCTCATTCTACCTCTTCCCAGCATATGGTTGTATTGTGTGACTGTTTGCCAGTTTTAATCACTGGAGTTTTTGTTGAATGGCCTGTTTCCACTGAGCAGTTTGGTCTGGTATGCTTTTCTTGTCCTTGTTACTGTCAAAGGGCACCAAAAAGTGAACCAAACTGTACCCCTTTACAAAGGGTCCCTAGCTCAACAGAATGGTATCAAAACGGGTCAAGCTACACTCGCAGCTGAATGCTATTGGTTTACAGAGAATTGTTATCATTGCATGCAACAAGCCAGAAGAATGAAAGGAAGGGACGCCCCATTTTTAAATACGCAGCCAAGATATTACATTGTAATAATGCATACAGTAATGAGCCATGCTTGACCCGAGCTCAAACAAACCTTGTCATCGTCTTGTGATAAACAACCACATGCCAAGAAGAACAGAATCTGTCCCATGTCCCATTGTTTACGAGGTTGTTGTAAGAAGAAATGGTTTTACTTTTTCTTTTTACCATTCATATGTTTGTGCTTCGCTGCTCATCTATATTGCGCTTGATTATAGAAATGCGGCTTCTCACATTCTTTCAGAAATAAACAAACACGAGAGTGAAGCACAAAAAAACAAACGATTCTTCCAGCAATCCAAGACAGGAATAAACTTCAACTTTTAATTATTACCATCACTTTTTGGATTATTATGAACTCAGAATGACGAAATTACTTTCTAACAAGACGTTACATGTGCTGGTGAAGGATAAAGATACAGAAGAGAGGTTTGCACTGACTGTATACATTCCGTATAGTTTAACACAAATAAGGCCTAAATGTACGTTTTGGGTAATTTTCCTGTGATTAGTTGCATTTTTAAGACTGTAAATGTCTGTATGTGTTCATATGATTTATTTTTTTGATAGAATTTACTGTAGGCTTTTTCACATTATCATTGATCTGCGGCTATAATTAACCCTGTTCATAGAAAGGTTAGTAATTAACATTTATACATAAATGTAAATCATCTGTTTAGTTTGAAGTGCTTTCTATAAATGTGATTTACCCATACAGCTTTATTTTTTTTAACTTTATTTGAGCGAGAATGATGTCAACCGCAGCATTCTGTCTTTTACCAGGCCTACCAAAAGGGTATCATTTGGCAGTGGAGACACAAGTCTGATGAAGGTGACCCATACTGAACCGAACCATAGCACTCGGTGAAAAAAGGCATAATGTGATCTGGTAGTTGTTACTCTTTTGTTTCTTTCAGTGTGACATTTTGTTATTTCCCGAGATTTGGATGTTACTATACTTAACTTTGTGAACAAATATAGCCATAAAATTCTCAGCAAACCTATTTTTGACAGCGTACAGTGATTTACCTGCATTTTTGTGACGTAGATTGGCTTGTTCATCAGAATCCACGTTGCGGTCTCGTAGCATGGTGGGATTGTCATAGACCCTTCGTAAGTGATAAAACTTGCTGTCTCTGGATACACCTCCTCAATGTTTAGCCCCGAGAGAAGGTATGCATCATCTATAGAAAAAGAGCAAAAGCATGCCAACAAAATGTTGTTGCTTATCAGTAAAAAGTAATCTAGAGAGCCAATTCACAAATATATGTGTACATTCCAGCCAAGTATTCACCCAGATACAAATTCAATAACAAACAAAAAATGACTTAAAAAATGTGGAAATGACAATAGCAAAAGAGAAAGCAACAACAAAAAGTGTTGTATCAGTGCTCTGAACAGTTCTTTTCAGTATTTATGTTTTGCCTTTGATTTGTTGTCAGACAGTGACAGCGCATGTTATTTTGACTTCACAATAGCAGGCTGACATGAGATAATGTGCCACTGAATTTATGAAGAACAGCAATATTGAACCCACCTTGCATTGACAACAGACAAGTAATAGGTTCCGACTCGCGTCAGCCAGAGGAAATAGTTCGTTATTCTCTCTCTATCCCATTGATTACCACTCTATCTCCCTGCATGTTTGCAATTCCACCAGCGTCATTGCGCAGAACTTTGATAGCTTTGGTGGCATAAATAATTCCTTTTGGCCGCCGAGGAGGAGGATGTGTTTGAAAAATACATGCGCTGGCTCCACTGCCGGTGAACACGAAGGCTGGTAGTAGTGCATTTGCAAAGACTGAACTGGGAACGGAGCGGGAGGCCAGAGGAGCAGGGTGGGGAGGCTCTGACAGCTGTCAAAGCCCACGCTCCTCTTGCCTCCCTCTGCAAGTGCTGTTGAGTCCTCCCTGAGCTCAGCCAGCCTGTGTTCACGCACCAGCCACCAGGGGTCAGAACACTATCTATTCATCCACTCTCTCCCACCCCTATTAATTCAATTATGAAGGCCTTTTTTCAAAAGTCCCTCTGGTGAGTTTAAAGGATAATGCCACGGAACATTTCCTCTACACTGCATGTCAGCGGTGGCCATGAAATACTCCCAAACTAAGAATCAGTTTGAATTTAATAGGCCTGAATACATTTACTTCTCAACATCTTTGGTTTTTACTTACTCAGGTCCTGTGCATACAAGTTGCTGCTGTCAATTAATAATTAGGAAGAAGTTGTAAAATGAATTCTAATTCAGAGGATGATCAACAGAGGTGGTTATGAAAGTTAACAACACTGTTTCTTTTGACAAAGAGCCAATTTTGGATAATTACACAAATATGCTCAGACAAGAGGAACACTTGTGGGCTTGTGTGGGATTTGAATTGATTTTCTACAGATTGTGTCCGGAAAAGAACTTATTGTTAATTTGATGAACAAGTACAACATTTATTTTATTTCAGAACAATAATAACATTAGAATAATGTTATTGCCTTTCAGCATCTTATCTGAGATACCGAATTAAGATATTTTCATGTGGAAAGCAGTTTCCAAGCAGACATTTCCATAGTAACAATCAACACATTCACATTTGTGAAAAAAATAAAACACAAACAGAAATGTTTCTTGTTAATTTGTTTTACACAAACATATCAGTATTTTACACACAGCATAAATGTTTTTATTTTATCCTAGCAAGCTGACTCAATCACACATCATCATCAGATTTTTTTTTAAAGGTACATACAACCAAATTCCTTTTTATTTAAAATATTTTTGTGCCTCCAGTATGAATTCAGTAATTGGTTTGGGTTTTTTTTTTCTTTTATTGAAAGTCAACTAGACCCTTTACACTAGGAGATTACATTTTTCTAATGCAGATGAACCTCATCTGTAAAGCTTTCACACACATCTGTTAAAAATCACACCCACTCAAAATGGTTGTGTGACATTTACAATAAAACATTAAATATGGAATTTATAATAGTCAATATCATTGTCATTTGCAGAAATATGACCTAGATTACATAAATATTTAGGTCTAGTTCTCATCGGAGATACAGTGTGGTTCTCCCACGGTTCTTGTCACAGCCATCCTGTCATATTCATATATAAATGTTCACAATTTTAAATATGTTTAATATGTTTTTTTTTTTTTTAAATCAAACATGTACTTATATTTTAAATAAATGGTAATTGCATATATTATCTCAGATTTTTATGTGTGGTAATGTGTGATCAGCTGATGCTTTCACATTTGTCTTGCCTGTCTCATAGCAGAGTATGTTTAGACTTTAAAAAGGTTTTCAGAGTGCCAACACGTAAAAATTCAAATGAATGAAAATTTTTTTTTAAGCTGTGCAGAAATTTGATAAACCTCTCTACTTGCAGTTACTGTATGTGTGTCAGAAAAGAGAATGATTCAATGCACACATACACTGTCTGACTAACTGATCTGATACATAGAGCATTCATTTTAGTGATTTAATGTGATATGAACAATCATGTGAACTGCACACCAGACAAAACCTTTCGGCTCAACTCCAGTGCAACTGCAACTTTGTCCATGCACACACACCAACTTTATTTTACATCTTCCTCCAAACCACAAGAATGGCAAAGTTGCACGATCATATGTCCCATCACAATAACATTGCTGTACCTTGTAAGTCCTAGTTTATCATGCAACAACTTGCCTGTGTTATTTATTTATTTATTTTTTGTTTAAGTTATGAATAATCCATACTTTCTATCTTTAGTAATGGTGTTGTTCTGACTCTGTTTCTTTTCTAGCCCTAATTGTTTATTTACAGACCATTTCAGATTTAATGGTATGTGCCTGACACGTCATATCTATAAACAGAGACAAGCAGCTTCAGCAACAATGTTCTTCCAGCAGTTTAATTTATTAACTGCTACTGTGTCCTAAGTTACAAACTGCAGCTTTAAAGTTTGAGATAAAGTTATTGGTGTGGCTAAAGAATCCGGGTGCATCAAACTGCAATGCAGCCTATTGCGACATAAAAAACACTTGAAAACATACTTTTATTGCTTGTTGCCTTGCCTGAGTAGGACACAACAGATGAGTATTAAAGTATGTTCTCATTTGTAAAGACAGCAAGCACAAGGTCATTTTTGGTGAATCTTACTTAAATGGTTAAAGTTTCTTTTCAACGATAACAAAAATATTTCTGAAACTTTTTAAATAATATAAATTATTTAAACAAAAGAATACAGCATTAAATTAATCAACTGGACAACTTTACCTTTTTGTCCCACTAGCATTCTGTACATAGCAATAATATATGAGGCAATTATTTATCAAAATAACGAGCCAGGCTTTTTATTTGACCCGTATGTGCTTTATTTCCACTTGAATGCAGATAGGTTTCATATACTGTATGCATTTTTCTTAACTTAGTGAGTATATGCGTGTGAGCATATGTCCTGATGGGCAAAGCCAATAGATAAATGTAGATTTGATGAGTTACTGGTCTATTCAAAACACATCTAGAATCTTTTAAGTCTATAAAAGCCATTATCTTACTGACCCATTAATGCTAGCCTGTGCAGTTGTGTAACTCTTCTTTTTACCTTACCAGTTACGGCTACTCTAATAAAGTATAGTTTCAACTTCTAGTAGTTTCCCAATATTTGTTTTTAACCAATCTTGCTTCCTTGTGCTCCTCATGTAACGTCTTCATCAACAGCCAAAGTTCAGTTCCAATACTCGAGATTGCAAGGACAGAGGGTGTGTGAAATAACCCATATGTGTTCTTTAACAAGGATGCAAAGAATACAGACCTGTGAGGGCAGTCTTTTTTATATTAAATATTATTTACAGTTGAGAGATATAAGTTGATTATCTCAGGAGTTTCCCCTAAATGTGATAGTAAACATCTTAATAAACACATAAAAAAAGGTGTTTATTTACTGAAATTGAATTACAGTGTCTTTGTAAAGCTTTTGCACATGTTGACTATGTAATTTATAAGGGGAAGAAACTACAAATTGTTGTATGAATGTTGTAATGTTTAAATTGTTTTCGGTTAAAATGTGTGAAGATCATTTGACCATCAGGAAAAAAAGCAGCATGTCAGTCTTACAGTATGTGTTATTGCTGCCTTCTCATTTCATTCTCCCAAAGTAACTTGTCATGATCGATCTCTACAAGAATGCGAGATCATCCTCTATGTTGAGAAACAGCCTTTAGTAAGAGCTTGATTAGCTGGTTCAGGTTGGAGCTAAACTCCACAGTTCCTGGCACCCCTGGTCTATGTATTTCTCTTTCTTAAGACCCAGTACTCATTCAGGATATGTGCTAAAACTTTACTTACTGTACACCTAAAACACAGATCCTCGTAAAAAAGGTGTCAATGCCTGGCAAGTGTTGTCTCTTAATTGACAAGGTGATGTAAATGCTGGGGAAAGAGTTAAGCAGCAGTCTGAAGCAACATTTAATACTGAAACCTGGAGTAAAGCTGCTGAAAACTGAAAAAGAAAATGAACATCTCTAGAGCGATAATACAAGTAATATATATTTTTAAATTTCTGTATTTTCAATCAAATTAAATAAATAAGCATACAACATTTAATAGATAAACATCTGAATAGTGGTGTATTTATGTGATGTACATTTATTTAACATCTAATATTGTACCTGGATACATTGCGTAGAAATTTCTTCCCTATGTGATATTCTGTATGTAGTTAGAGAGTCTGTGGTTTTAGACTCTGTATATCCATGAATGCATAACATGATTCTGTCATTTATTCTCTCCCCACCGCAAGATGTCATGATAAACATACACAGATGCAAAATCTCCAGCTCTCCTCACCGACAGCTAGTCTCAGATGTTTACATAACTCTTACAGCCGATAAAGATACACCTGATATTCACTGCACGGTATGAGCAGACACATCTGACTCCACCATCAAATGCCAGTGCTATCGATCACATTTAGAAGCTAAATCAGTTTTCATTTCAAACGATAACAATGTAATGCTTCCACTTACTCTTGTATGTTATTCTTGTGATAGTGTCTCTGTTCAACATCCGATTGAGAAATGAATTCGAAGTCTCAGATATCTGAAACAGAACAGGTGTTAAGGGGACAAAGGACAGAATGATAGACAGGAGAGGGAAACAGGTGAGGGTCGGGGAAAGAAAAGAGAAGCATATTATAAGTGACAACTTCATTTGAAATGGAAAACAACATAACATATCCCAGGAGAAAGGAATGTCCCATTCATTCAGTTTAAAATGTGAAAAACTAAGGTGCTAACATCACGTCTCTTGAAGTGTACTCAATCCATTAAGACGCCGAAACATTTTTTAGTGCACTCAAATGCATCAGGATGAACCCAGCAGTGTTCTGTAATTAAATGACACCTGATAGAATCACTCAGGACACACTGCCGTGTTTTCCATGCAAACTACATAGTTCTACAGCAACTCAGACTGCTTTTAGCAAGTAGTAAAAGAGCATTAACGAAGACAGCGAGAAACCGTTATCATGCTTTTCTCTGACTCCACTTTACTTGCTAATTTGAAACTCTTTCAGTCTGAACGATTAAAGACATGTACTTTGTGACTACAACACCAATCACTTCTCTCCTGACCTACTCATTGAGTGAACAGTAACGGCTGAGGCTTAAAAGTCTTAGTCGCATCATTTCAAGACTTTGTGATATTAACTGGGGCTTCAGTTAGGCATTATCTATTCCAAGAATTAATTAGAGCTGACTACATAGAGCGTGAACAAAGAATACCCTATACCATTTCTCACAATAAATGTTTTTTCCTTAAGAATACTGCCTTTCCCTACAGTTTTGCCATCTAAATAGTTCACTGTTTGTCAACAAAACAAACAAAATGGCTGGCTTCTATTCAGCCACTTCTATCTCTCTTTAAAATGTTTATTTCCAGGACAATTTTTTGCATTCAAAGTATTTAGTTTGGAAAGGGGGTCCCTAGAGGTGTGACGCCATAAAGAACACTGCATGTGGTACCTCAGAAAAAGGCTTTGAGAATGACTCATGTCACAGAGAAACAAGAGTACTGTTCTCAGATTATCGACATGGAGGGCAATGTTTCTGAATAGCATCAAACACATCTTGTATGTTAGTGAGAAAAAAGACAAAGAAAACTCTAAAATAAACACTGAAACAATAAACATTCTTTTAAAATGCATTTCTTCTTTTGTCCAGAATACCATGTTTAGAGGTATTCTAGCAATTATTTATTAAAACTTCAATCTTTTTTTTAATCTCATAAACAATTATTCATTATTTTACATGAACATTGCAGTTACCAACTTTAGAAAAGCTGTGGTATATTCGCACTAATATTAAAGGATCATTCATTCATCATCTTTTTTTTACTTAATTTTCCCCTGCATTTAAACAGTTGTGTTTTACCATTTTAATAACTTTGTCCTTGTTATAGGATAGTCAGGGTGTGCGTAAGGTCTTAAAAAGTCTTACATTTAAAATCTAAAATTTTAGGCCTTAAAAAGTCTTAAATTCACAGCAAGAATGTTTTGTAGGTCTTAAATCGTTTTGAACAGGTTTTAATTTTATCATGTCCATATAAATTGATTAAAATTTAGTTTATTATAAAAAAAAAACATTGTTTAAAGAAAATCTATGTTAAAAATTATTTGTTTTGACACATTATTTAAAATGTTATCAGTGGCTAGTTTCCACAGTATGGTACAGTTTGGTATGCTTTTATGGCTGTTTCCACTGTCAGAAGGTACCAAAAAGTGAACCGTACCGTACCACTTTTTAGCACAACATAAGGGTCCTAAAAGGTGAAGCTAGATGTGAAGCTGAATGCTATTGGTTTACAGAAAAACGTCACCAGCGTGTACACAAGCAGGAGAATGAAAACAAAGGAAGCTCCATTTTTAAATACACAGCCGGGACATTACACCGTAATAATGTATACATAAAACAACGAGCCATGGTCGAGCCGAACTTAAACAAACCTTGTTGCCATCTTGATGAACAGCCATAAAGCCAAGAAAAAAAAGCAGAATCTACCCTGTGTCCCATAGTTGTTTACAAGGCATTCTAAACCGCAAGCGGTTTCACATTCTCGCGTGAGCTCACTACACGTCTATAATTGAATTAATGAACATCTTGAGCTAATGATAATATATTGCGCATGATTAATCAAGTGCTACTGCCTTCCTTTCAGAAACAAACAAATGCGAGAGTGAAGTGCAAAAAACAAACAAAAGAGATGTCCGAAAATGCAAAGGAGCAAATTATTCTTTTGGCGAACTAAAACATGAACAAACTGCCATGTTTAACTATTAGCATCACCTTTTGGACGATAATGAACTTGAAATGATGGAATTACTTTCTAACAAGAGGTTACAAGTGCTGCTGAAGCATAAATATACAAATAAGAGGTTTGCACTGACTGTAGGCTATGTTGTTTGTTGTTTTTTAAGACAAATAAGGACTAAATGTATGTTGTGTGTAGTTTTTCTGTAATTGGTAACATACTGGAGACTGTAAGGGTCTGTAAGTGCTCAAATTTGTTGCATTTATTTCTTTTATATAATCGCAGAAGTTACAGTAGGCTATTTTTCACAATGTATCATAGATCTGCAGTTATAATCAAATCATATTCATAGAAAGGATACTAATAAACGGTTATAGACAAGCATTTATGTGAATAAAGCATCTGATATGTGAGAAGTGCTTCTCATATGGTCTTTGAACAACCCGTACAGCTTTACTTTGAAATTTCCTGGTGGAGAATGACGTTCACTAAAACTTTGTCGTACACCATGTCCACCATTGGTACCCTTTTGCCAGTGGAAACACAAGCCTGATAAAGGTGACCCGTACTGTACTGTAACACTCAGTGAAAACAGGCCTAAAGAAATCTCTTTTTTTTTTTTTTTTTTGATAGGGCAACTAAAAGTTTAGGGCAAGTTTTCCGCTGGCCCAACAAGGGATGCGTTTCTGAAAACCATCTTTAGCCAATTAATGTCACAAGTTTCATTGTTACAAACATAGTTTGTTGATTTGCTGTTTCCCAAATCCATCATTCCAACGAACAATCACAAACTGCATCGCAAACTTGTATGGAGCTATAGATAGAACCATAGTTATTGGCTGTGTTCTATTCCCAGTTATCCCCCCTGTGCATTTAGAACATTCTGACATTTAAACTTGGAATAATTTTTTAAAAAAGCATTAAAGTAGCCTTTCTTTAGTGTAATTTGCTTTGAAAGTATTTTTACAGTTTAGTTTTAGCGATCTTCAAGTTTACAATTGCGCTCTCTTCGTAGTGCACTTTTAAAACATTCATTTCATTTTAAACACAGCCGTGGCTCACGACAGAAGCTATAGGTGACCTATTATTTAAAAGCAGAATTTATGTTGCGTCTCCAAAGCATGTGAACACAAAAATCATAGCATACGTTAATGCTTTTAATTTATAGTAGGTTATTTATTAAGTATCTGAAATGTATATGAGATGGGCCTGTTGGTTAGAACATTTCTGCAGTGATTTACATCTCAAATTGTAACAGTGGATTTAAAAAATAAATAAATAAACAATATCCTGCTAATTATTATTTTTATTACTACTAATAATAAAAATAATAACCATCATCATCATCATCATTAATATTATTAATATTTTATTAAATTAGATTTTTTTTTCATTACCTAGTAAATGATAAGTATAAAATTGTTTTTTTTTTTTTTATAAATAGCCTCATTATTTATTTATTTATGATTTATATATGAGATTAGAATGCGTTTTAGCTTTTGTGAGTGATTTTTTGTTTTAGAATAGAATATGTAATGTCCTCAATAATATTTGTAAAGGAAACATTGGCCCTGTAAGTGCCATTTACCTATATTTCAATTAATATGAAGAACGAGTGCATGTTTTCACCAAAACTAATATTGGATATTTTTTAAATGCCTGTGTGTGTAAAACAATATGATGCACAAAAAAAATTATGGGGTTCTTCTCTAATAAAGTTGTTACCACCCCGTTTAGAGCATAAATCTCGTTATAACTAGCATGGTTTAAAGGATGGATCTGCGACAGAGAAACTAGAAGTTTTTGGAAACTTCATCCCTACATCGTTCTTTTCTCAAACGATGCATCTTACTATGATAGTTCAGATGTGAGTTATGTCGTTGTTTGGGAAACGCTCTCCAGGTCATTAGAAAAAAAAAAAATCGGTCACACTTTACAATAAGGTTCATTAGTTAATGTTAATTAATGCATTTACTAAGATGAACAAACAATGAACAATACATTAACTACTGTATTTGTTCATTTTAGTTAACGTTAGTTAATAAAAATACAATAGTTCATGTTAACTTACGGTGCATTAACTAAAGTTAACAAGCATGGACTTAAATGTTAATAATGCATTAGTAAATGTTCAATTAGGATTAATAAATGCTGTACATGTGTTGTTTATGATTAGCTCATGTTAGTAAATGCATTAACTAATGAACCTTATTGTAAAGTGTTACCAAAAAATCCTTAGCATTTATCCCTGATTAAGTTTGAAATTCCATTCATATTGCTCTTAAAGTCTTAAATTTGACTTTTGAAACCTGCTGAAACCCTGATAGTAGATTGTTGACATGATTAGCAAAGGGTTGCACAATAGTGCTACTGTATGTGTCGATGCACTAACTGCAAGGCTATTGGCACTGACAGGTTTTATCCCTTTTTTAATCTATTCAGCCCATCTCCAGGTCGGGAGGTGCACTTTTAGCTTAGCATTGAACATTGAATTCACTTCTCTAACTTTAGGTCTGTACTATTAGTAATATGGTTATTATATATTTTTTTTCTTCATAGATCTGATAGTATATTTAAATGTGTTCTCTAATCATTCTATTTTCATGTCAAAAGATATATTTAATGGGTTCAGTGAGCATGAGTTAGTCTCCTTCCATATGGACAGACAGCAGTGGTGACTGGATCAGGCTGATGTCCAGGGCAAAGAGGACTAAACCTGCCAATGACTCTGGATGGGTTAATTATCTTAGCTTGAACTCTTATCCTGAGGGAAAGCAGTAGGTAATAGTGCCTCTGCAGATGGTCTACTCACGGTCCTCTAATAAAGCAGGGGAAAGTTATTTTATAACCTTGTCCTTCCAGCGTGACCGGGAGATGCACACTTAGTTTGCCTGTTGTCTGGTAATTGCATGGCTAATTGTTTCAGAGTGTCTTCCTCTTTCACCTAGCCACATTAAATGTGCCAATTCAAATCAAGCAACAAATTGAAATACAAATGATGCTCGGTTTTCTATTCATAAAGGAATGTATGTATATATAGCAACACAGCTGTTTTTTAAGATGATAGTAATAATAAACAAAGTTTCTTAAGCACTTACATTTCTTAAAGTACACTATCTATGTAATGTTTTTTCTTTTTTTTTTTTTATAAACATCCTTCAATTGGTTGGAGAGAAAGCAGATATTTAGAATTTTTCAATTAAAAACATTGGGCTATGTATTTACAATATGGTGTAGTGGATTGTATGGAAATTAAGTGTTTAATCATTACTCACCTTCATAAATATAGACACTATCACCAAGCCATTTGGACTTTTAGCAGCTTCTGTGTAGTTTGTGTACAGTTCATGGTTGTAATGTATAAGTTGCACCTGTGTGAATAAAGAAGAAAAATCATTAATGATTTCACTCTTATTTCACTAATTTTTCATTGAAAAATGGGATTATTATCATACGACAGCAGTCAAGAAAAACGTATTAAAATTCTAATAAAATACTATATAAATGAATGTCATTATTTTTGTTGTACTTGCATATGCCTATAGACCAGAGATGCCCAAAGTAGGGTCCACAGGCCAAAGTTAGCCCATTGTAACTTTTGATTTGGCCCACCATCCCATCTGAGAGGGGAGTGAGAATGATAAAGATGGTTGGGGCAAATGCCTTTAACACAGAGATCATCATTTCTAATTTGGCGTAACCTTTTTTGTTTGTTTTATTGCTGAGAAACAAAAAAAGAAAACTGAAATTTAAATGTTGCAATTAAATGTTTTACATTTTTTCAAATGCAAATACTGTCACTCGACGGATAGACTATGTAGAAGACATCAGTGAGCAAATCAAAGCAAAAACTAGTGTAATTCTGTTATGAAGAGATTGTTTTTGTTAGTGTTGGGTTGATAGATGACTGAAAAGATATTATGCATGACCATTTTCAACAAATCACATTTTTGTGCATTTTCAAACCTATTGTCACATCTTTGCATTAGTCTTGTAAATGAAATGCCAAGTACTATTTTAGGTGACATTAATGAATGGTATAATGAAAATTACTCAAATATAATAAAAGTCTTAAAATTCTAACACAAAAGAGGAAGGTCAACTGTGGCATGCAGGTGTTGAGATATTACATCCAACTCCCTTTTACAGTAAAAGAATGAAATATGAGAAATAGAAATAATTACTGATTGATACTTTGGATGTTAATTATGAAAAAAAATCTAATTTTTATAGTTTTTTTTTAAGTCTTACAACCTGTTTTCACCTCAAATAAATATGAGAAAAATAAAGGTGGCGTTTTGAATGAGCTTGCGAGTCAGTTTGGATAACAGCCTAAGTTTTTGTCATTACAGATGGCTCTGAATCACAATCACAGGTAAACAGCTGCTTCTGTCTTTGTTTGAACATGTCTGTCAAATTTAAATTTGAATTCATTGTGAAGCTCTGCTAATCTTCCTTCGCTGAATCGCTCGAGCGCACACTGTCCCTGAGAAAGAGCTTTAAAACTTTGGGTGTTTAGATAGGTGAAGAGGACAATTTCTTCTTCGAACTCCCACAGAAAGGAAGCAGAGAGGAAAAACTTACAGATTACCTTGAGCAGAGAACAATTATTGTGAAATAGCTTAAAAAAGAGGAGCAAAGTGCCTCATCCAAGGTCTTATCAAGCCACAGAACACTAAACAATTTGAGGGTCATGTTTAGTTGCTAGCAGCAGCATCATACATCCTGTTTTTTTTTTTTTTTTTTTTGCTGGTCAAAACAAGTGGATCAATTCTTTTCCAAGCTTTGCTGAGATACATTAAAACTCTGTGGCTGATAGTAATTATGAAATATGCAAAAGGAGAGCCGGAGAGAGTGACAGATCGTCTATAAACTTAATCAAGTGTGGAGGAATGCGATTACAGAGCGAATGTTAATTTGATTAGTTTTTTTTTTTTTGGAAGCTGGTTCTTCAGCCAGAGAGATAGAGAGTGTGAAGGCTAGTACAAAGCAATTCACCCAAAAGATCAAGACTCCACAGACATCACACACTCCTTTAAAGTCACATTATACGTGCAAAAAGATGAGGTGCTCATCTCACTGGATCCACTGGTTGTGTGAAATTTGCAGATGGTGGAGAAGTGTGGAATAGTGGCAGGAGATGTTGAGTGTGTCTTTACACACAGACGGATCTGTCAGGCCGTGAGAGGTGAGGTGTCTCTGCTTCTGCCTCTGGTGGGCCTCTGACAAGCTCTTTACTGTGTGATAGCTGGCTTAGGCTACCATGGGCCAAATATGAAGACAGCAAGTCGATAGCAAAAAGAGGGGTGGACGGCACTAACAGGGCAAATGAAATGCAGTCGTCTGGAACAGATGTCCAATAGCAGATGAATCGGAGCGTGCGCTCATAAAGCAAATAAACGGAAAGCCCGGGAGTACGGAGAACAATCCTATTTGATTACGTTAAGATGTTTTGTGAAGGAGCATGGAGTTGGTGAAAGCTGACAGACTGGAGATCTACAGTGTGGTATTTGAACACATAAAGAGTCAGAGAGAGAGAGAGAGTGGTTATGCAGTTTGACAATGTTTAATAAAGAGAAATTACTTCTAGTGGAAGTTTGATTATTTCCAATGTTGTGCTGTACTTTAGTTATGGCACTTTGCTGTATTTAAGGCAAGTGGAAAAATGTGATTTTAATGAGCAAAAATACTGTGGCATCTAAAAGTCAAACAGGAATAGGAAATGTATTATTTTGCTGCCATCGATAATTAGAAATTAATGAAAGGGTGAGAAGAGAATTTAAAACAGAAGTGTGGGCTGTAAGCCAATTCTGCTGATTCATTGTTTATCATTTCAAAAATTTCTCCAAGTGCATTGATACAGTAAGGCCCTGTTTACACTAAAACGTTTTAGTTTTAAACCGCTTAAGTATTGCTATGGTTACGCCATTCGTCCACACTACGCCGCAGTAAAACTGAGCTTTTTGAAAACGCTGATGAGGCCATTTTTTTTTTTTTTTAAACCTTACTGCTACGTGTCAGTGTGGATGGGGGAAAACTGAGAAATCTGAAAACGGAGGCAGGCATTTTGCCTATCTGATTGGGGCTTTTTCCTTAATATTAAGTAGCCTAAACGAAGTTCAGTCTTGCATCCTCTCCTTTTAAGTTGAGACTTTGCAAGTTTGATATGGAAAACAAGCTCTCGAGGACACATTGTACTTTATAACCTCATTCACATCACCCTGGCAACGTTGTTTCACTATCTTATCAATAAAATGACAACATGATATAAGCAACTGCCTCTTTTCATTTTGATATGAGCAACTTAACAGACAGCAGAAATGTTGAGGCATCGTGCTGCATATTTATATGAGCGTCATTTTCACTGTGTGCATATTAATAACAAAATGGAACCTATAACACTACTGCCTCTTTTCATTTTCATTGAAAATACGAAACACACCCACTCTTTTGCTAAATATCAGTTTCAATAATCAATAATGGCCAATATAAAAATATAATGTACAATACTTTTATACATTATAGAAAATTAAGGCAAGCAATCAGTCAAATGTGCAGAATCTGTGTTTTAAATTAATATATTAACTTATCTTTCGCTCAGCCAAAACACAAGTAAGAGATTCAAAAGACCAAAATCTGGGAATATGTTATTAGATATAGACAACAAGATGAATTAAATATCATGTTTAACAAATACAGTTAGATTGGATCCAGTTTTACAGTAGATCCTTGATGAACTGTTCGACGTCCACAGCTCTCATCACTGCCAGAGTGCGTGTGTGGTCACATGATGTGCGTTTTTAGCGGTGTAGTGTAGACGGCGAGTTGTTCAGAAAAACTGGGTGAAATGCCAGTGTGGACATGGATCATTTTCATTCTAAAACGCCATTTTAAACTAAAACATATTCGTCTAAACAGGGCCTAAGTCTCAGACTAAAGAAACAACAGGATACAGTAAATTTAGAACCGTCTCTATAGCTTAGACTATAACATCATGTGATTTGTGTAGTGATGTACAGTTTCTTCAATAACTTAAATGGGATATTCACTTTCAATAATTCTGCTATTATTTACTTACCCTTGACTTGTTTCAATTGTTTTTTTTTTTGTTGAACTCAAGATAATATTTTGAAGAATGTGAACATGATAGACTTTTATAATAGGAAAAAAACAATACAGTGGAAGTCAATGGTTACAGGTTTTAATCTTTTAATATATGTCTTCAATATATCTTTAATTTCAGTCAAGTGTGAGTAAATGATGGCAGGGTGTTTTTGAATGAACTTTGCTTTCAAATAGATTGAAACCAAAATGAAAATCTAATTATCATTCCCCCTTGTAATGTCCTAATTTCCTCTGTTGAACACAAAAGATATTTTGAAAACACTTGCATCCATAAAATTAGACTCCATAAAAATTGAAAAAAAAAAAAAAAACTAATATTAAAGGGTTAGTTGACCCCAAAATACTAATAAAAAAAGTTAATTACGTACCCTTGTGTCATTTTAACTCTCTGAGACATTTGTTCATCTTTAGATATTTTAGAAATCGAGAACTCTCATCCTGTATAGAGGCACTGCTTATTCTAATGGCAATACATCATAGATATTCCAATGGTTGCAGTTGAACCACTGAAAACACATGGAATATTTGAGAATGTTTTGATTCCTTTTCTAGACTCTGAATGTCTAGACTCTAGAGGATGAATGAGCTCTCAGATTTCATTTTAAATATCTTATTTTTTGTTTTCGAAGATAATCGAAGGTGTAACGGGATTAAAATGACATGAAGGCAAGTAATTAATATCAGAATTAAATTTTTTAGGTAAACTTTAATATATAAAAAAGTCCATTATTACACTTGATGTTTGGGTATAGATTGATATTCTTAATAGTAATGCAATTCAATAGTGACTAACTTCTGAATAGCCATTATTAAAAAGCTCAACAGAAATGTTTGATTGGTTACAAAGTTCAGCGATGTGCACACACACAACAACAACAACAACAAATCAAAATATCTAATGCAATGTGTTTAGTGCGATAAACTGACATATTTTTTTTGCATTTATCTTGAGTCATTACAGATTAAAGTTTAATTGTGCAGAGGGATATTTTTTATCTTGAAGGGGACTTCTGTTTAGGAATGGTAATGCATTATTTTGCTACAACTGAAAATAATTCAAATTAATTGAAAGGGTAAGAGTGCAATCTAAAACATAAGTGTTAAATGGATTTGCAAATAACTAGATTTGGTTTTTATTAGTTGCCACAACCTTCCTTAATTCATGTCAAATTGTAAAAATGTTTTCCACAGTACGTCAAACGAGCTTAAAAAAACTTATGAAAGTTTTTTTTTTATTTTATTATCCCCCCTCCCCTAATTTTTAGTTGAACTGTAATTTAAGTTTAACCCCTTAACTGTCACTCCACATTTTGAAGATGATGTATGATAAATGCATCATATAAAGTGTGTCAAGATAAGTTTTGCTTTAGATGCTTTAGAAATAATAATAAAATAAAGCACTGCATTGGAACGGTGACAGATAATGTGTCACTGAAGCTTGTGAAGTGTAAACTCAACAAAGACAAAAAACACATCAAATCACTGTGGAAGCTTTTCAGTTGTTTGTTCTTGCTACAAGGGATATCTAAAATGCAGTACATTTTTTATTTGTTCTTTTTTTTCTCTCAAAAGGACTAAATAATGGAGGGAAACCACCTAGGCAGTTTTTTTTAAGCAAAGTTTCTGAGAAATACCTTGAATATTTTAGCACTCATTTCATCACTGGTGTTTCATTTTCAGCTTGTGAGTGAGGCTGTCCATATTGAATCCGGTAGAATGAAGCGTGTATTAACTCTGAGGTGTTGCAATGCATCTGCAGAAGGGCAGCTAGCTTCCCTCTGGGTGTCGTGAGCATCAGTCAGACATGATCTTTTATTACTATAGAACAAATGAGGGAAGAGAACGGGAGACGTGTTGGATGTTACGGAGACAGACATCCAAATAAAGCTTAAAAGCTTGGCTGCATTTGAATGCAAAACAGTCACTGGTTGAGAATGTGTTTGTCATTTGAAGTTGTAATATTCTTCCTCCTTTCTCTTTTCAAGGACAGACAGAGTCCCGGCTCATTTGCTTTAATTTACATTCTTAGACGCCTTTTTTTCTTTTCTTTCTTTATTCTTTTTTTTATTTAAAGCCATTTTTGAGCAGGAGAAAAAGAAGGCATGCTCCTAAAGGTACTTTCAAATATGATGTAATGTATTTTTTGTATGCAGTTGTAATTTCACCATCATCATCATCATAAAAAACTACATGGCAGTCAATGAAAACAAACTCTGCTCCTACATGTATGCAGTAGCTATGTAACTAATTACAAATCTTACGGTTCGCATCACACTATGAGTTTTGAGTCATGGATCAGACCATTTTTTGCATCAGCAAAAAAGGGAGGAGACAAATGTCATTTGATTTCCATTTATACAAAAATATTACTGCAAAAACCATTGCTTTCAACATACTAATCTTAGAACCTGTAATTTTCAAAAATCAAGAAAGAACCAGCTGAAAAAAAGGAAAATATTCAACAAAAAATTATCTTTGCTACTGTTGCTGATAATGCTAAATATAGGAATCTAACATCTTGTACAACGTATCGTATTTATTTTCAATGAATGGTTCAACAGTTCACACGTAAAGCTTCATGTTTCATTATAGGTGGATCATTTTTCAAAACCTATTCAGTGACATCATTTTGATGGTTGTTTGTCGCCACCCATTGGTTACACAATGTAATTGCTACAACATTCACCAACGTCAAGTTCCATTAAGCTGTGATTTTAATCTTCACCATAAACATCAGTGTTTATATCTGAACTATAAACTGTTCTCCCAGTACTACTGCGTTAGTTAATTGTAACTAACTGAAATAGTGTAAAGACTAAAACTCTCTTGACCAAACGCAGATTTGAATGCAGCGCTTCAAATGATTAATAAACATATGCAAATCATTATTATTATCATTTATCATTAATGTTTTGCAGGTTTGAATTGAGATTGGGATCTTTAAAGGTTAATTGTGCAGCTTTACATTGAATGGATTAATACAGGCTAAACAAACAGTGACAGAAAACATAATCTGTATAGATCTAGGATCCACCATGGTCCTTTACACCCATAGTAGGCAGTTGGTTGCAGTTGTATTTTTACCATCATCTTCATCATCATTAAAAAAACTACATGAAAATGCCTTTTAGAACAAACTCCGCTCCTACATGTATGCAGTTAGGGTAAATTTGGGCAAATCATATTTGTAAGGTGTGCCTACTTTTACTTTGATTTGCCAGTAAGAAAAAGGACATTTTAATTCTGACTATATTCATAATTTAGCAAACATATCTGTTCCTTTATCCCTGCCCCCGTCTGTCCATCCATCCATTATTTGTTTTTAAATCACACTTTGATAAATTCTCGATACTGTTTAGCTTCCTGTGAGATAAGAACCATTCTTAATCTTTCACCAAACTACTTTTAAATCCTATTCATTGCCATTGAAATGGTTTTGTCAGTAAAATGCACAAAGGATGCACCTACATTAAAAAAGTAATTTAGCAAAATATGTTTACAGTTTAAAGCAAAAAAAAAAAAAAAAAAAAACGGTAAAAATGATGGCAAAGTTAAATATTTCGATGGCTTTTCTGACCAAATTGTTGAACAGCAGTATAAGTTGAGAAAACAAATAATAAAAAAGTGTTTTTCTTGTAAACATGTACGCATGACGACATTATTATGCACATTAGCTCCTAAAGTCGGAATCTGTTTTCACCAATTTAGAGACAGTACCTGTACTTTTTTGCCAGAACTCCATGTAGTGTAAAAATCTGCTTTTTACGGGCTCCTAAAATTATATCGTTTTCTAAATGAATGAACTAAAATATAAAATATATTTAACAAGTGCAAAGGTACCCCAAAGATGAATTGGAATGCTAACAAACCACTTTCTTCAGATACAGAAAGGATATAAATTTATTAGCTGAATCAACAATAACATCATGAATACATATATATATATATATATATATATATATATATATATATATATATATATATATATATATATATATATATATATTCACTGTCAATCAAGAGCAATAATGCTTTGAAATAAGAGTGAAAGACAGAGCCGGCCTTTTAGTGCCCGGGTCACGTGTCTCTGTGCCCTGATAGACTGTTGACACTTTGTTTTATTATTGTTGGATTATCAGCTGGCTGCCGCAGGGATGGGGGGAGAAATTATAATCATTAATTACTGAGGATTTGCCTGTCAAGCTCACGCTTATTTTGTTGCCACACAAATCATCGGTCTTATTACCCTCAAAGAGAAATGTCAGGACTTCACTGACTGGTGACTTTATCAAATGATGGAGGCCGCAGTGCAGTGCATGCTAAATATACACCACAAGGGTAATTGAGATGCTTATTCCCGCTGCTATAGCTCTGTTAGTGGGAGGCTACTAACACTGGAGAATGAGCTCAGTAAGTCATCGCCAATACAGTTAGAAGACTATTTCAGCCAAAAACATTGATGTGTTTTTCAGTATGTTAAGCTGCATAGTTCAGCTGGGAGCAAAGTTTACTGTATATGATGCAAACCATTTTAAACTTTTCATGAAATGCATGCTCTGAGGCACGCTGTAACCGTTCCATGATGCATACAAATTCTAAAATATTTGGCAATATCCACAGCATTAAGTTTTCTTTCAGCCTACACCCGCTGTTGACCTGTGGGGCCTGATGTTTGTAACATGGTAACCTTTACAGATCAATAGGCTGACGATTGCCAACAGCTTCTGGGACTCTGCGATCTGATCTGTAGCCCACTCATGATAAAGGACAGAAAGGATTGAGAAGCTCACCTCCCCAGAGAAGGCCTGGCCATTGAGGAGATGCTCTGAGCCCTGTCCGTCCTCACTCCCAAAGTGTAACCTGATCTCCTCAAGGCGATGGCTGTAGGTCATTGGTCCACCGGAGATGTTCACCAGGTGCTCTTTGTCCAGTCGGAGTGAAACATGGCGGCCGGTGTTGTACATTGTCCCTCCAACCTTTAAAATAAATTAAAAAATGGTCAAAAAAAGTGTCATCAATGAAACTGCTAATCAAATAGATGAAGAAAAAAAAAAAAAACAGCAACTGTGCTTCCACACTTTGATTGAGGTGGTACATGTGGGGCACAGACTCATTCAAGGGTGGCTTCCCTGATTTATAATGTGCTTGTCTTAGAAAAGGTTATGTGCTAAATGAGCTAGAAAAGGTGCTAAGTTAAAGCCAGATGGCAAGCAGCTGCACAAGAGCTGCTATTTGTTGGCTTGATCAAAAACTAACTGCCATATCTTGACACTACCTTTCATCCTTATTTAAATTATTGAGGCTGCATTGAATTTAACTGAAGATTCAGTCTTTGAATTGGGTGATTGGTGGATTAGGGCTAATCAAGCTTCAGGAATGACCGGATTCACTATAGATCACCCATGTGGAATGTCCACGTAACAAGAAAAGATTAGTATTTATTTTACAAACTTCCTAAAACATTAGGAAGTATATGTTTTTAATAATTACTTTTTTGTATGGATTGGATATTTTTTACAAATAAATAATCAGATCTTTTCGTCATGTGAAGTTCACAGTCTCTTTAACTTGTATTTTGTAAAAAAAAGTTTAATCTTAATTTTTGGAAAATATTTCCTGCAGATATTATTGCACTTTATTCTAATCTGATAAACAATCCCTTACAAAAAAATGACTGCACTTTTTTTTAAGAGTACTGCAGTTTTTAAAGGAATACTGCAGTTTTAGTTAACTTCTAAAAAGTGCAGTTTTTTGGACATGAAAAAAATGCGTTGTTTAAGTATATTGCAGTGTTACTGCAATACAACTCAAGTACTGCAATACAACCAACTGCAGTACATCTACTGCAATACAACTGAACTATTACTACAGTACAACTACTGCAACAGTACTGAAGTGATACTACTACTATAATCCAGTACTGCTACTGCAATACAACTGGAATACTACTACAGTACAACTGCCATATCATTATTGCAATACAACTGAAGTACTTCAACTTTCTTGCTCAGTGGACTCCAAATGATGTTGCAGTACTTCAGTTGTATTGCTAAAGTACTACCACAATGTGTTGTATTGCATTTTTTAGGAATAAAAGTAACTATATAAATACATCTACAATACTGCAATACATAATAAAAAAATAAAGTGCACTATTAATACTTGCGTATCTAAGAGAAATACATTTTAAACCATATCACTATATTGCCCTTCTTCGTTTATTTAATGTTACTTCAGTTGTACTGAAGATTTTACTGCTGTTGAACTTAACTGCATTCTAGTAGAACTGTGTTTATACGTCATTATACTACAATTTTGAAGTTGTGTTGAATTTTGCCAGTTATCCTTGTACTATATAGGCTACTGCTGTTTTACTGTTCAGTTCCCTGCTGTTATTTTTATTATTTGTTTTTGCAAATAAACTCTTAAAATTCTAACTAGAAAAGTACTTATTAATTAAAATAATAATAATAATAATAATCCCTGAAAAAAAGTACTAAATATTCTTAGAAGATGTTGAAGAACAAACCCCTTAGAACACAAGTGCAGTACATTGACCACATCAATGGCATATTATACAACAGCAGCACAAGTGCAGTATAGACAGAGTTTACTTGTTTTTACTCCAGTTTACTGCAACTTATACTGCTGTTCTGCTTTATTATACTTGAACTGTGTTTACACTTCATTGTATTGCAAATGTGCAATTGTACTTAATCTTACTGCAGCTATACTTCTATATTCTGCTGTTGTGCTGCGGTTTTACTTTAGCTTACTGCAGTTATTTTTTGTAAGAGATTTTTTCATAAGTTAGTTGAAATGTTTATCAGGGAGAATACAGTGTTACTGAAGAGCATATTTGTTTCATGAGATGATATGTGAAAAAGGGCTTGCTAAATACCATTTGTCAACATAAAATTTCAGTCAATCTGCAGTGTGAAAACAATTGCATTTGCAGAGCAAAAATGGTACCAAAGAATTTACCACAAAGGAGTTTGCTATTTTGTCACCCCCCACCATCCTTTTTGAGAGCTTACTATTCTTTGATTGGTTGTATGAGCAATCCTGTTGTGATTGGTCTCCCACTTTTAGAGGCTGTCAGAAACAAAACATTGATTACCACAGCTGAACATGATCTCAGGAGACTTCCTCAACAATTGTATCAATTTGATGCACTTGTCCAAAAATGATACATCAGAAGAACTAGTTGATCACACCAAAACTTTTCTCTTAGTTTAGAGAAAAACATCTAATCAGATGCTTCTCAAAATGTTGTTGACAGTACAACTGAATCAAATGAATCAGAATCAGTTCATTTAATAGAAAATAACTTCATTTTACCCTCTTTAAAACCCTTTACATCCACACGCTCAAGCTTTTACATTGCACACTGCATGAAAGGAAATATCAAAAAAAGCACAGTACATGGGTCAGCAGTGCCTATAAGCTGAAGAAACGGCTCTACATAAATCATTTTACTGAAAAACAGATATCGGTCTGTTATTAAATTATATTCTCATTCTCGATGATACTGTAACTTGAAAAACTCAAGTGGAAGAAAAGAAGCTGGTGTGACAGATGGAAGAACGAAAACAAAAGAAGTGTGTCCTCAGAGCCGAAGAAAGTGAGAATCTGCTTGCAATCGATTAGATGTGAGGCTTTAAGAAGAGAGCATGGAGATACAAGAACCACGGATGGCAATCTTTATCAGTGTATCTGCTTATTTATTTATATTCAGGAGTTGTTCCAAAGTGAGCCATTGATATTCCACACACGATGCAAGCCAGGCTTCCGTGGCTCTTATCTTGCCTTTTTTTGCCTTTCTCGTTCTTTTCCTTCCTTTCTTTCTGTCCGTGTCTTTCTTTTTCCCTTTTACGACTTTGCCTTCAAATGATTTTCCCTCTCCAAATTCCCAAAGAAAGAGGCCTGCCCACACATGGTAAATATTTTATAGAATCTCTGAAAAATCAATGATTTGTGTAGGGTGAGAGAAAAGGTGAGTAAGAGAGCGCAGGACAGTGAGAAATAGAAAGAGTGGGAATGGGAGGAGCATCCTTGACCATCCTTGAGTAAAGATGTTATAGCCGCTCTTAAAGGATGGCCAGTCTGCACATTTACCACTGGGTGCTGGACTCGTTGGAGAAAAGGGCAAGACATTTGAAAAACCCAGAAGAGGTTATTTCATGATGATTATTCATGAACTACAGATGGTAAAGAGAGAAGTACTTAAAAAAAAAGACTCATTGCTACTCTCAGACAACAGAAATGAATGTTCCTCAGTTCAGCTAGTTTGTGTTATAGTTCCTTAAAAAAATGTGGGCATTTATCAATTATTGATGGCATGGTCCACCCTGACAATCTTTGCAACACTGTATGGACATTTTTGAGATGTATGGGAGATGTTTATTTTCTTCTTGCTATTCACTTCTTGCAAAACTGATCTTATATATCAGTTGGGAAAAACAGACTACTGTGTATGCCTCCCACAACAAGTTGAGTACAGATGTTACCTGAGGGTATACAGATCATTGCATGGAGAACATACTCTACTTTTTCACTAAGAGTCTCATAAACTTTAGTCTGTGTATTGTTTCATCTCGGGCATTTTAATTTGCCTAGAATCATTGAGCTGTTTCACCTCATAATTTGCATTAATGAATTCAAAATCATGCTAGTAAATGCTCTGCTGCACTTTAATTTGTTGATTTGACAAGTCTATGGATGACATCGCATTGCTCCGACAACAACTGCAAAGCATTTGGTCTCAAACTTCAGTTAAAGGGCAACTATACTTCTCTACAACTCCCATCATGTGCAGAGGTACTTTATTAGATTAACTATTCTTCTATTAGATGGAGCAACTTTTGCCCTCAGAACTGCCCTGATTTTTCATGGTTACATTTGAAGGGTTATGTTAAAGCATTACTAATAGATTTTGACAGTAAATCAGTTAGTATACACAGTTGTAGATTTGTTGGCTGCAGATCCATGATTCTAATCTCCCATTTTCAACAATCCCAAAGGTGTATTATTGGATTGGGATTTGGTGTGAAAGTACTTATAACTCAGCCACACAATGTCTGATCTGCCTGAAAATTCACAGGTTTGATGAAATTCCTCTCCTGAAGACTTTTATATGCCAATATTGAGTCACAGTCATAGCGTTGCCTGCTGTCAGATTGAAGTTTGGCATAAATCTGTGATTTTATCAGATTTAAAAAATATTTTTCAGTTTAACTTATTAGTGTCCACTTTTCTCTGTGATCCAGAGTGTGAGGTCTTGCAGCTTTAATTGGATTGGGATTTGGTGATTGAGGAGGTCATGAGTTTAGTGAACATGTCCTGATCAAGAAACCAGTTTGGGATGCTTTGATCTTTGTGACATTGAATTATCTGCTGGAAGTAGCCGTCAGAAGATGGGCACAAAGTGTACAAAGAAAATATTCTTCATTAGACCACCCATAGCCTGAACTGTTGAAATAAAGTGCACAGAGCCATGCATTTATGTTGTTTATACAGCCCCGGCTCACTTTTTGATGCATGTGCCACATGGAAAATCCACCGGAGTACACGGTGTTTACTTTTACAAACCTGAAATACATTACATAGGGTACATATTGTCGTTTCAGATACATGTGCTGCTTGTACTATTTATGAGAAGATGGGGCTTGACGTACAGATCACTTATAGCAAACCACATAAATCCTTCCCTAAAGCCAACTATTAGTGCTTTCAAAAGCAAACATAAGAGAAATAAATTGCAAACAAAGTTTGCATTTTTTTATTTTGATGCTAATGCTGTACATTTTAGTTTGTTTCATTAATGGTTCTGTTAGTTTGTTTATGCTTCACTGTAAAACTGTGCTTCACTGGACTCAAACGAGTGCTCTGCATGTACAAAGTTAGCTAATGAGCAAACTTTCCATGCCAGACATGTTATTTTGTGGTGTCTGTTTGATATGCACAACTGCACAAC